AAAATGCATCCTTGTAGAGTTTAAAAACAAGAAAAAGAGAAATGGACTGACTGTTTTAAATAATTCTGTTTCATATAAGATCACTGGCTGAACATTTCTCTATCTGTACAGAATATAAGTCCATAAGGCTGTGCAGAATTTAGAATGGGTGTTTTCTCTTCAACCAAGATTGAAATAAAATCTGTCTTGAAAAGAAGGTAAATGGCCATTTTCTTCTGACAGCAATACAGCAGCTGCATTGCTTCACTGACTACAGTAATATTTGGTGCAGATGTGCAGAAATAGGTCCCAGCTTTGCAAGGGTTAGTCAGCATGAGAAAATGAATCCAGAGCATCTTACTAGTTCAATTTTACCACCTCTTTGCCTTAGTAAAGAAGATCACAGCATCTTTCTGAGGGCAAACCTAATTCACCTCATGCACGTTTGATACTCTTATCCAAATATTACTGTGGGTCTTTTTTGTTCTCTTTAGGACACTGGAAGAATCCTTTTAATCCAGAGTTCACAAGGGAAGAGGACTTCTTTGTGGATCACAACACAACTGTCAAAGTCCAAATGATGCATAGGACCGGTTGGTTTTACTCCTATTTTGATAGTCAGCTGTCTTGCACAGTACTGCAGATAGACTACAATGGTACAGAAACCACATTTTTTGTTTTGCCTGATCCTAAAAAAGAGAAAGAATTGGATGCGAGTCTGTCAATAGAAACTGTGAACAGATGGGCACAAAATGTACAAAGGTAACACTTCTTTTTACTGCTTCTATATTTCTCCATAGTTAGTATATTCTTAAAGAATATGGAAAAATACTTCAGTGCCTTCGCATTCTGTGCTATGCTCTTCCAGAATAATTGTTGAGAATTGATTTTAAGATAGAGATCAGCAACCTAGATCTGTCCATGTCTCACTAGTGTTTCAGATACATCTCTTAGTAGTGTCCCCTGGGTATAAAAGAGAATCACAATTGATCCCAAAATTTATGTAGCTAACCAACACAATTTTCAAGAGAGTTGCTCTATTTTATGACCTTTATTGACATGGTTGTTAAGTGAATCACTGCAGCTCTTAAATTAATAACATGGTTGTTAAATGAATCTGGCTTTCCCAATAATCTTTGCTTGTCAGAAGATCATAAAAGTTGATCACATGACCCAGGGACAGTGCAACTGTCATAAATATGAAACAATTGCCAAGCATCTGAATTTTGATCACATGAGCATGGGGATGTTCAACTGTCATAAGTATGGAAAATTGTCATAAGTCACTTTTTTCAATGCCACTGTAACTTTGAATGGTCACTAACCGACTGTTATAAGGCGAGAATTACCTGTATTAACCATTGGATGGAAGTTCTTCAAGCCTGTTGGAAGTAACTGATGTTATTAAAAAGGAAACTTGTGTTTTATTTTGGCTGATAAGATGTTAAGTTAAGTTATGTTATGTTACGTTACGTTACGTTACGTTATAAGTTATTTTGGTATATTGGTTGGTTGTCTTTGTTATATCTTGATGTTTTCATTTAGTTTTAAGCCATCTAGAATCATACAGGGGTTGGACAGCATATAAATTCATTCATTCAATCACTCACTCAAGTCCAATAGTTATTTTGACAGCAGTGCCTACATCCATGATGGGGAACCTATGGCATGCGGAGCCATTTGTTAGGGCACGTGAGGTGTTGCCCTGTCAGCTCCAGCACGCATGCATATACTGGCCAGCTGACTTTGGCCTTCTTTTAAGGTCGCTTCCCGGAAGGCTCCATAGGGCAAAAAACGGCCCTACGGCCAAACCGGAAATCACTGTTCCTGAATTTCCGGGTTGCCCATAGGGCTGGTTTTCACCCTCCGAATGGGCGGGGCAGGCTGTTTTCACTCTCCCCAAGCCTTGGGAGCCTGAGGAGGGCTGAAAAAGCACAACAAAAGCAGGGAGAGCGCTGGTCATGCGCACATGCGCGAGGAGGAGGGGGGTATTGCATGTGCAAGAGCGCTGGAGTCACACATATAGCATTATGAGTGTGGGCATGCCCGCGCACGACCCCCCTGCGCTCCCATCCATTTTTGGCACTCAATCCAAAAAAGGTTAGCCATCATTAGCCTATATTGATATCACTCAAACATCTTAAACAGATTTACAATGGTTGCTATGATAATAACTAATACCAGGGATTTCTCTCTTAAAAGTCCAGCTTCCATATGACAATGATGGCATGGTTTTGTGTATATGTGTTTTTTACTGATTTTAGTAAATACTACTGGGTTTACTTCTTAACTTTGTGATGTCTAGAATAAAAATGACTTTTTTTTCTTTCTTTCTGAAGGAATACAGCAACGGTCTCCATCCCCAAGTTTAGTATTTCAGCCACATACAACTTAAAGGAACCCCTCTCCCAGCTTGGCATTACTGAAATCTTTACTGACGATGCTGATCTCTCTAGAGTCACCGGGGGGAGGGCTTTGAAATTGTCTAAGGTAAGTAAAATATTTATATTGCTTACATCATTTCACACAGGATTTAAGCAAGATGAAGCCATAGCAGCAATGTCAAAAAGGGGGAACTAGATGTAAAATCTTATCCTTGCAGAATAGAACTTTCCTTTCCAATTGCTGTTTTGTAAGTAAAATGTGTGCATCAGAGTATTTTTCTGGCATAAGTTCATGATTTTTCATCATTACAAAGAAGATAAAGATTGAGAAGGCAGCTTATCCACGTTCAGTTTTTCCTCAAAGTAATTCTTCTAGAAAATTATTGGCCTATCAATAAAGACGCATCTGTCTTTACCCAGAAAGTCCAAGGAACAAGACAGGGATAATTTCACTTTTTAAAAAATATATAGTACAGGAAAAAATGCAACAAAGAAAGATCATAGAACAGGAATTGCAGCAATTGTAACATATCTTTAAAGAGAAACCTTGTGTGTCTGGACACATCCCATCCCATTTCTCTTGTTGTTATCAAAGAGATTCAGTAAGCTAGGAAAGTGAGGGGGAAAATGAAATATAAATAGTCGACTTGCCTGATATCCCTATTTGCAGAAAACTAAATTTATCACAGGTAAACATATAATTTTTTCAGCACAAAATCTGTCTAAAACCTTTGTCTCAAAGCATAGAACACAGAATTCTAGACATCTAGTTTAACAATGCAATGCAACTCAGTGTCTGAGAAAGCTCCAAGCAATATGATTTTGGAAGTTGAAAACAGTGTCTAGAATAGCTATTTTAATCTCTTTAGTCTGTCAGTGGCTGAATTAAAGGAGGCCTAATAGTAGCCCTGCACCATATTAAGCCCAAGAATCCTGACATATGTATGAAGATACCAAGCTTCAAGGATAGCCATGGCAAAATTGTTCTGCCTGATTTTTCTATTTTTGAAAGATGGAGCTCAGTAAAACATGCATTAATTATAAACTTCTCTTTGTTTAAGCCAAAAATAATTACCAACAATATTCACATTTTGAAGTATCATTAGTTCAGTTTCTTCAATACTGTTTGACTTGAGGAGCAAATAGAGTTTCTTTGGTTCCTTTTTCTTCTTTTTGTCTCACTATACTTTGCTTCTTCCTTTTCAACCCAGCGTTTCAAAATTAGCAAATTTAAGATGTGTGAACATCAACTCCTAGAATTCACAAAGCTTTCAAGTTTGAAAAACACTGGCTAAATATTTTCCTTAAAGAGAAGCTACTACTCACTACTCACCTCCACAGTGCATGGGCTAAAATTGCTACAATACCGAGAAAGTTAACCTAGGCCTACAGATCAGTGTAACAAGTTGTCACCATTTCTGAAATATTTTTTTTTTCTGCTGCAGACTTTGAACGTTTTCTTCCTTTCTTCTCAGGCTATCCACAAGGCTGTGTTGACTATTGATGAAAGTGGAACTGAGGCAGCAGGTGCCACTGCTGCAGAATTGATGCCTGTATCATTGCCTCCAGAACATCAATTTAACCATCCTTTTATAGTATTGGTTTTTAATAGACAGATCAATGGTACATTATTTGCAGCCAAGATAGTAAATCCAACACAACTGTAAAATAAAATTTAAAACCCCCAGAGTATATTGGCTTTTGAATACAGTTCAAAAATAAAGTATTGTTGGAACATGAATTTCAAGGAGAGAAGGCGGGGAGGGGGGGATTTCAAAGGAAAATTAACAAACGTATTTGGCTCCTGTGTGAATCCTCATATGAAATGAAATGGTTTGTAAATAGAAAATAAAATGGAGCAGTGCTCATGTGGATTCCCTGAAGACTGAAATGAAAAATTGAGCAAAATAATCAAAGAACATAAAAAGATACATTTTCTTTGAGAATAAAGACTAACTAGACAATTTGTCAAATGCAATCAAACCAGTGCCCTTCCACTAAATTTTCTCTGTGTTCATCATCTCTCTTGGGCTCCAGAATACAACAATTGACTTTAAAATAGAGAAACCTGGGCTGTGGATCACCAACATTTTTTTTTAAAACTGTCTCAGGACAGTTTTGTTGGATGGAACTGGAAATGCAGAATTTCCATAAAATAGTGCATCATGCAGCCCTAAAGAGGTTGTATAGAACATGAATGGGCAATCTGGAATAAACAATTTATTGTTTGTATCAGGGCTGAAATCCTCCTGGTTCGACCCTGTTTGGCCGAACTGATAGGGACGATTGTCCTTGGTTCTGTGAACAGGTAGTAAAAAAAAAANCATAGTTGTTAAAGGTTACCTCAGTGAATCTGTCACTTCTGTCATTCAGTCTTCAATACTGGCGACAAAGTGGGATGCAGAGGAACCTAGACAACTTCAAACAAGAGGAAAAAATGCATTTACCTCACTCGAACCTCCTCACAACTCAGCACGCTGGCTCTGAGGATGGTGGTGTTCCCGCACTTTGCTCCTTTTTTCTCTACCATGGAATAATTGGATAGGTTCCTAGAGTGGATTGAATGCTTTTACTAGCTAACAACTTCCACAAATTGCTTGCAGACAGAAAGAGACGTTTTTTCCTCAGTTCCTGCAGATCCGAGATGTTTGCCACTCTAGCCGCTGCCTTGCCAGTGCACTCCATCTCTTGGAACATTCTGCTCTTAAAGAAACGGAACCACTATTCCCTAATACCTTCCAGCATTGCCAGACGTCATTCATTCCAGCAATGTCTGCAGAAGGAAGGATATAAAGTCCTCAACTTGCGACAGGCCAAAAGTCCTCGATCTATGACCTGGCAACAACAGAATGGCACCCATTGGCTGAGATGCACCTGGCTGAAGGGGGACATTTACTGTTTCCCTATTGGTTGCTCTGCTTGACCGCTCAAGTATAAATAGTTGTCAAGCAGAGCATGGTGTTGAAGTTGTTTTACCGTTTTGCTTGCTGTTTGGTTCTAATAAAGAGTTGTTAAATGTTACCTCAGTGAGTCTGTCACTTCTCTCATCCAGTCTTCAATAGACATCACTAGATGTCCAAAGGTTTTTCACAATATTTATTTATTGCATTCTATGACATTTATTTGTATTACCCAGTATAGTATGTTGATATAGTAGAATATTATAACATAGGTAGTTATAATATTCTGTAGCTATAGCACAGTATATTACAAGACTCTCATCCTATTCATTTTTCAACATATCATATAAATACACAGGAGAAGTTTATAGTTTGCTCTGTAGAATTTTTTGGTTTGGCAACATGTTAAATTCTTCTTAATTGATTTCATATGATGAAAAAAGCTACAGAGTATAATACTGAATGCTAAAAAGAGCATACAATTTCTACACATACAAGTGCAAAGCTGTTAACAAATTTATTCGGGGTTATTTAGAATGCATTTTAGACTCATGGGGAATCTTGTAAAATATACAGAAAACAACATCTTCTTATTCATTTATTTGTAAACTAATGACTGTGAAAAGGATGAAATACAGCAATGTACTAGCATTTGGATGTTGATTATGAATGTTAAGGTGCATGAGACATCCAAATTCATCTCTAATCCAAGGGCTTTGATATCCCCACACATCCCAACCCCAACCCCCAAGTACTTTTGTCCTAGAGATTCACAAGCTAAATATCAGGAGAAAGTACTGCTTTTTTTGAGTTGGTCTCGAATCCTGGACATATCCATATCTTTTCCTTAGCAATAATGCAGGTGTGACTTTGCATTGTCGTCTTCTGGGAGATTTTTTTTTAATTTCCTAATTCTAGCCTTCTTAGGTCATAATCTACTAACCAAGGCTGACCTTTTTTTTTTTTTAATTTTCAAGACCAGGAAGAAGAGGCTAACAGAGTCAGTGTGATTCCCACTCTTGATTATAAGACCTTCTACCATAGGTTCCTCATTTTTGAAGGTCACTGCTATAGCCAGTCAATGTTAAATGGGTTCCTGAAGGTTTATTTTGATTGCTGAAAAAGCCATTTTTTGTTTGCAGGTCTTTGAGCAATGGTTAAAATAAACATATCTGCAAACATCTGGTTAATGCTTAAGGGAATATTTCCACACCATTGTGTAATCTGATAATATAAATAGTAAAAGGAAAGGGATACAGAACCCATTTGAATGAATGAAAGCTCTCCTTATTATACAGTAAGTAATCTTGTGGGGTTTATACAGTTTGCATATTATTACTGGTTTTTTTCATATAGTTTACAAAATGTACACATTTGAAGATACTAGAGTGCACTAATGATGCTTATACTTCATATTCCTATATTTAGAATTCTGCAAAACAGCAACTTAATAGCTTCTACCATTACACACTACGGTAAACACTTGAACATTACCCAAGAAAAAGATAATATTTAACAAAAAGCAGAAAAAGAACATATAGATTTCAGATTTGCATAAATCATTATAAGGAAATATGTGGAAATATGTTCATGTGTGAAGAGAAACTGAGAGGGGGGAGGGAGGGAGGGAGGGAGAGAGAGAGAGAGAGAGAGATACAACTTACCTAATTATTCATGTGGGATTATTACTATCCAATAATTCAATGTCAGTGGAAATAAGTAATGATACAAAACTGGTATTTGTATGGTTAAACTGTATTGATATATTTACTAATATATTTTGTTAGATTCATACGCTGGCTTTCCTCCTAGGCATTGTATGTTGGATACTCTGCTTCCATTTTTCTCCCAAAACACCAAAGTCATTTACTGAGGTTTTAAAAAGAAGAATGGGTGTTCAACTATTTTTACTCTGTCTAGGATTTGAAAATATTTTTTTGCAGAACATCCTAATCCTCTACAGGTAGTCCTTGAGGTATGAAAGGTCACTTAATGAATGTTCAAAGTTATGATAGGCACCCCAAAACTACATACAACCCTGTTTCAAAAGTTACATTAGCTGTGACACCCCCACAATCATTCGCCTTTATGACCAACCACGGGGATGCTGCAAGACACTCCCCCCACCTCTCTTTCCCAACCCAATGGAAGCAGCCACCATTTTCACTGCTCTGATAATTTCATGTGAAAATGGTGGTTATTTGGTAGCTTTTACCCTGATCAGCTGGCCGTTGGTAGACTGCCAACCTCTCCTGGCTCTTGCTAGGCTTTGGGAAACCAGACCCTGCACTAAAGCAGCAGCTTCAAGAAGAGTTTCCTAAAACATTTCCCCTGCTTTAACCCCTCCCTCACACAGAAAGCCACATTTCCAACAAAATAAGAAAAGCTGAGAAGGACCGACTTGTTGATATATTTCTCCCCACATTAGGTGCTAAAGCTAAACTCACTCCCTCTGCCCTCCAATCTCTATCCCCTTTTACCATTTAATTTGCAAAATTTAACTGCCTGCTGGAAAGAAGGGGACAAAACTGCAAGCTATTTATCTTGACTCCGGGCTGAAGAGTAGAGGAAAGGGAAGAAACAAGCAAAGTAAATCTTTCTGCAGCTTTTTTGCCTTGAGGAACTGAAGAAAACATTCAGCTCAAAAGGTTCAGCCAGCTAGAGCATGATACGTGCAGCAAGCAAACGCAGCAGATGCTGGGTCCTTGCAAAGATTTTCACTGTTTGTTTGGCTGCCTTTAGGACACAGCTAGAAAAAGACCTGCAAAGACCCAGCTTTTTCCCTGTCTGTTTGCTTCAAGTGTTGTGCTCGAGCCAGCTAAACCTTTTGAGCTGAATTTTGTTTTCTTCAGTTCCTCAAGGCACAAAAAAACCCCAGACAGGTTTCCTTTGTTTGCTTCCTCTCTTTCCTCTGCTCTTCATTCTGGAGTCAAGGTATAATGGCTCCCTTGGGCACCCGCTTGGACATTGAGGAAGAACCAGTTCCAGGGGACATCCGAAAGGGACTATGGGGAACACCAAGAGAACAAGGAAGGCTCTGTGTCAGAGTCAGATGGTCAAGGTGAAGCAGTCCTGAGACTATTGGGTGAATAGAGGAGAGAGCAGACAGACAAACAGCTGGCTGTGCAGTCTGTCAAAGAGGGACAGCTGCAGCCAGTGATCACAGACAAGGAGGAGTTGCCATCCTTGCCCAATCCAAGGTCACACACAGCTGAGTGGAGGGATGTGCAAAAGAAGTCAGGAAGGCTACTCACAAGGAGCCAGCCTTGCCCCTCCTAATGAGCCACATCAGTCGGCACCTAATTACCTCGGCATTTTGAACCTGATGGTGGCTGGGGACACCTTCCATAATCTGACTAATTCATGAATGCTCTTGACTCGTTGCTTTAAACTTGTGGAGATCATGTCGCTTTTATCATGCCTTGGATCCATGGAAGCCATGCTGCCCTCATATCATGGAACCATTGGAGCTGGGCTGCTTTGAACCTGTTGAAACTGTGTTCCCTGCACTGTGCCTGTTGTCTGGAGAGTTGTAGTTCCTTTCATTGGGCCTTGCCATCAGCTGTTGCAGTCATCTTGCTTGGAATTCACTAGTTCACCTTGCTGTCTTCCTGTCAGAAGTTCATTTAGTCACCTGGTTGTCATCCTCCCTCGACTTCTTAGTTCATCTTGCTGGTGTTGTCCCCGTGCCTTAGGTGCGGAAGAGACTGCAGCTTATTGCTTTTGCTATGTCCAGTCAGTGTGGTATTTACAGAAGTTGCTTGAAACTGACCCTAAGGACTGCATGTGCAGAATTGGGACCTGGGGAAAAATTATGGAGTTGGTAGTATGAAAGAATCTCGCTTAACCCCACTTGTGAGTTGAAGTCCACAAGTCTAAAAAGCTGCCTCACCAGCCATAAAACTCACCGCACGTCATTGACTTGTGTGTATGTGTACATGGACTGGGATAGGTCATAAGGTTTTTAAAAGGCATAGAGATTGGAGGGTAGATGTGGAGAGTTTCCTATTTTAGCATCTAATTTTGAATGGGGGGTGCAAATTAACAAGTTACCCCCACCCCTTTTATTCTGTATTAATTTTTATATTTGCTATTGAACAAATGTGGCTTTCTGGGGGAAGGAAAGGGTTAACGCAGTGGTGAAATTCAAAAATCTTTACTACCGGTTCTGTGAGCATGGCTTGGTGGATGTGGCAGGGGAAGGATACTGCAAAATCTCC